TCTTAATTATTCGAGTCGACCCAAATTGCAATTAGGTTCGGTACATGTAAAGATCGACGTTTGAACTAGGCCTAAGAGAAAATCGCTTTCATCATTCAAATGATTATTCAAAGGAACTGTGATGCATGCCCTGAGCAAAATGTACGCTATTATAAAGAATGAGCGCTAACTGAGTTTCATAGAACAGGTTGAGTCATGTGAGAATGAAAAGATTAATAACTCTGTCTTCGGCGCTAACCAGACATCGGAAATGATATTCAAACTAAATTTAAACAAAGTCAAGACCGCCCTCATTTTTAATTTCAACTCCCCGCAGAATTCGTGTCAGGATTTCAAATTAAACCTTAGCAAGCTCTTAAATTATTAGTTTCTTGAGGCAAAAAAATAAATTAACAAAAGTTGAAATAACAGTAGCTCGTCATACAACCAAATATCGCCAAGTTTTTTTCAGTTTTTGCACAGGACTACTTCCCAAACGTTTTGGCAATGTGTTGGATCCGTTCTCAGCCAAAATAGGCGGTATTGTTAGTGTAACGGCTTGCACGGAGAATGTCAAACCGGCTGTCTTCTCTTACCTTCGGTTTAGCCGCAAATTCAAATTTTGAACATATGGAGCCTTAAAAAGGGGTCTCTTTCTTTGGCAAGGCAGTAAAATATTTCCACTGACATCAGTTTAAATAAGAAAATTATAAGAGCAACAAAAGATATTTATTACCTTACGAGTTAGGCCTCAGTTCTCCGTTAAGTATTTTATTCTCCGGCCCCACTAAGCACCAACAAGGTAAATATTTTATTTATACACCATAAAAAAAACAAACTGTCAGGAGTTAAATTAGCATAAATTTGCTAGATTGAGCCTCATCAAACCAATAGACTCACGGCAATAAAACCAAAATGCTCACGGCAAAACCAAAATGCTCACGGCAGAAACAAAATGCTCACTGCAAAGCCAAAATTCTCACGGCAAAACCAAAATGCTCACTGCAAAACCAAAATGCTCACGGCAAAACCAAAATGCTCACGGTAAAACCAAAATGCTCACGTCAAAACCAAAATGCTCACGGCAAAACCAAACAGCTCACAGAAAAACCAAAAAGCTCACGGCAAAACCAAAAGCTCACGGCAAAACCAAACAGCTCACGGCAAAACCAAACAGCTCACGGCAAAACCAAAAGACTCACGGAATAATTATTTCATATTCAGAGAGATTACGAAAATTTGTGTTCAATATTATTGTAATCATTTTACAACACAAATATAAAGATTGATGAGGGAGAGGGAGGGTTAGAACTCTGAGGGGGAAGGGAGTGTGGCTGATTGTTAATACATGTAAATATATAACTCTCTGCAACCATTAAAATCCACCCTGCCATAGTGGTGTCGGGAAAAATGAGGTGTTATCATCCATTAATTAACCGATGTTTGATAGGTCCTTTTTAGAATTTCGGGAGAAAATTAATACTGTAATCGTAGGCCGTAGATGCTGTTTTACTACTATGAAACTAGGGACTTATCGTATGCCGCGGCCAGAGTTACTATATGGATTCTTTGCGATTAAAAGTGAGTGGAATTTAAATTGTGAGTCTATTGTGGATTACATAACGTATGGGGGCAACAATGGATTGGGTTCGATGGAGCTAACATACACTTGGTAAGAAGCATCAGGATAACTGCCAACTCATATGCGTTATGCCTGTGTCACACGCCTGCAGATCAGTGAGTCTTTTGGTTTTGCCATGAGCTTTTTGGTTTTGCCGTGAGGTATTTGTTATTTCCGAGACAGTTGTGGACCACCGTACCTGAGGGACACTTGCGGCACCTGCACTCAGAGAGCCTTTGCCCAAGAGAGAGAAAGAGAGAGAGAGAGAGACTGGGCTCCGACAGTTTTTGAACCAACTCCATTTAAAGTAGAAAACATCATTTTCATGTCATATTTTAAGTACGTGTAGGCGCTAAGTGAGTTTTGAGCCTTTCAGGTCACTTATGTCAGAGAAGATCGATTAAAAAAGAGTTTCTCTTCACAATACTAAGGAATGAGCTAATT